GCAACAAAATTGTATACTAAGAGAGGCAGCTGCCAAATCATTTTGGCCCAAGCGAAGGTAGCCAGGGTTTGTGGAAGTGGACGGACCAGACCAGCGAGATGTGTGATGTTAGAAGAAATCAGTCCATTCTCATCAACCGCATATCAAAATTAGGTCAAGCCAGCAGTCTGGAAGTGCTCTTAGGGATACAGGAAGGCACCAAACAATTCGAAAAAATTTCTGAACTGTTCACTTTATGGAATAGTATTTAACAAACATTTAAGGACCTTTCATTAGCTAGCACTTACATGGAATTTTTGCTGTATATACATACACACTATTTTAAAAGAGTCTTTTGAAAAACTGAGAAACTTCTTTTAAGATTTTATTTGTTTATTTGAGAGAGAGAGCATGCGCACAAGCAGGTGGAGGGGCAGAGGTTAGAGGGAGAAGCAACTCCCTGCTGAGCAGGGAGCCCGATGCGAGACTCGGACCTGAGCCGAAGGCAGAGGCTTTATGACTTAGCCACCCAGGGGCCCCAAAGATTTTATTTATTTAATTGACAGAGAGACACAGCGAGAGAGGGAACACAAGCAGGGGGAGTGGGAGACGGAGAAGCAGGCTTCCCGCGGAGCAGGGAGCCCAATGCAGGGCTCAATCCCAGGACCCTGAGATCATGACCTGAGCCAAAGACAGACGCTTAACTGACTGAGCCACCCAGGCGCCCCAAAAAACTGAGAAACTTTTAATCACCTTTCAATTTTATCTGATCCTGCCAGAGACACATGCATGATATAAATTAATTCAACCACAAATAGAAATGCTTAAGTGTTTTTATCAATATATGGATCACTCTGGTACTATTTTTAAATAAAAGAGTAGGCTGGAAGAATATATGAATCAAAAACTGACAAATTCAGGGGTGCCTGGGTGGCTCAGTCAGTTGAGCATCCACCTTCAGCTCAGGTCATGACCCTGGGGTCCTGGCATCGAGCCCCCTCCCTTATCGGGCTCTGCTGCTGAGTGGGGAGCCTGCTTCTCCCTTTCCCTCTGCTGCTTACCCTGCTTCCCCTGCTTGTGCGCTTCCTCGCTCTTTTTCTCTCTCTGTCAAATAAAATCTTAAAAAAAAAAAAAAACTGACCAATTCAGAATTAAAGGAAATAGACCCAGCCAGAATTAATAAAGTACTAGTCAAAAAGAATTTTAATGTTAGTTTTTAATTTGAATTATAAACGATAACTTAAATTTTCTCAACAACTTGAGATAATTGCAAAGACCGGGTACGTGAGATTTACTTTCATGAATATAATCATTTGAAAATGAATATTGTTTATAAACAAATGCAGTTGAAGTGCTTTCTAAGAATGACAAAATAGTCTCCAAAATATATACTATTTATTTAGCACATCATTTTTTTTCCTAAAATTAGGGCAAAGGAAAATTAGACTCAGTCTGTGTTTGATTCACTTTGAATCTCAAACTGATGAATTTCAAGTGACACTTTATTATTTCTTGGTTTTATATACAAAATGGCTTCTCTAACAGTTGATTTTTTGAGAAAATGGGGAATAAACTTCTCCACCTCTGATGAAATGAAATACACCTTTTTAATGACCAAACATGGGAGGTTAATGACCGTATTGTCATTTTTCATTCTTCATATCTCTACTGTCTTAACATCGTTTCCATTTCCAGTTGTATTCAAATTGTGTGTGTGTGTGTGTTTTAATAAGATTACTTTTGGGGTTTTTTGCTTGTTGTTTTTCCTCAGAACAACAAACTGCTGGAGCAGAGAGCATGAAGCCTCAGCCAGCTCCTTGGCACGCCTCCTCAGGAAAAGATGCGCCCGAGTGCAGGACACAGTAGACTCCGCTCCTGTCACTTTTCCGGGGGCCCAGCATTCCCTGTTTGGAAATGACTGCATTTATTACTTCATGTGCCTATCCCTGGCAGTGTTGTCACAGTCCAACTTAATTTCAATTCAGTTTTCATTTTGCCACTAGAATTGGAAGAGGAAGGAATAGGAGATTAATGCGTTCCAGTAATTTAGAACGGTGATAGCAATGTCTTCTTGAATGTGGTAATACTTTACCAGTTGAATTGTTTTATTTATTTATATATTTTGTAAAGAATAAAATTATTGAAGGAATTTTCCAGTCTTTCCATGTATACGTAAAATGTATTCATTTTTATTAATGTAATGTTATCCACCTATGGCTTAGATACTCCCAAGGCATTATGCATATATTAAAGCATCATTTAATTAACAAAATTATAAACTCCTTTTTAAGTACCTTGAACATTCGATAAATGTTTAATTAGTGGTTCTGAATCACAATTCTATGTGACAGTAATTAATGGTTTCTTGGTGGGTGGTACTCAGCGTATATTTGGCTCTACTTGTTTGTTGACTTACAGAATTTTGCTATGAGAATGTATACATACTTTCTGGCTTTAAGTTGCTAAGTTTATCAAAGTGCTATGACCTCTTCATTTTCTAGGCTAATCTTTCTTTTGCTATAATAAATACAAAAATTCTCTCTCGCTTTTCTGTTACCCACCAACCCCCATACAAGCACTCTAAATTGGTTGGTTTGTTATCAGACTTTGTACTCTACTACATTTTACTACCAGCTGGAAGAACTTCATGGACCATTTATTCTATCCTTTTATTTCAGACATGAGGAAACAGCACCAGAGTTTCTATCAAAGTAGAAGAAGTCTTCTAAACCCAGAGTCCCCACAGATACATAAGACATCTATGGATGGGCTTCATGCAGTCTGTAAAACCTCTGAAATTTTATGTTAATTTGTTAATTTTGTCATTTTTCTAGGATACTTGGATCCATACTTTTATCATATTCTTAAAGGGATCTTTGGGTGATGTTTCTTTTTTTTTTTTTAAGATTTTATTTATTTATTTGTCAGCGAGAGAGCACAAGCAGGGGTGGGGGAAGCAGGCATAGGGAGAAGCTGGCTCCCCACTAAAAAAGGAGCCCAATGCGGGGCTTGATCCCAGGAACCTAGGATCATGACCTGAGCCGAAGGCAGATGCTTAACAGACTGAGCCACCCCGGCATCCCTGGATGATGTTTCTTTTGTGTGTGTGTGCACCTTCTGATTTTTTGCTGAGTTTTATCCATTTGAAAAAGCAGCCACCTCTTCTGGTCTACAGACTGCTTCATACAGGGAAAGATTTTTATCTGTCAGCCTGGTTAGAGATCCTGGGGATCTCTGAAATCTTTTTTAGGGGGATGTGACCTCTGGGCTGTGGGTATAATTTGCCAATTAGAGAAGTTTACCAATTTCTTTTCTAGGAGCTGGATCTCTTGCTCCCTCTGGTGTCTGTCTTCACTACAGCATGTTCTTGCAAATAAGAAGCCACCCCGCTGTCCTTTGTTCTCATTGGCCCCCAGGCATCCAAAGTATATCAGCTCTCCATTAGCACCCCAGGTAGGCAAGACAAATATCAGTCTTGGACAGCCCTCCAAAAAGTGGGAATACCAAGAACATGCTCCACTCTTCTCCCTCTCTCCCAACTCTGCTGAACCACTCCGGCCTCCGTCTGGGGCACTGCAGGCCCTCCAGTGTCCATTAATGCCGGTTCCATCAGCACTCCAAGTCAGGCAAGACAGAACCCAGTCCTTTGGGCTTCCATAGAAAAAGTCAGAACTTTGGGTTAGTTTTCCACTCTTCTCTTTCCCCCTACTCCCCTGGGGAAACGAGGAGCCAGAGGCTGAGCTGTGCTGACTTGGGCAAGGGGTGCGGTGGGTGGAGCCACGGGTAAAGGGAAATGACTCTTCTTGCCCACTTCAGTGCAGCTGTTCTCAGCTCTCCCCTTACTTAGGGTCCTGCGACTTCTTAACTGACTTAAGTTCTCGTAAAGGTATTTTAGTCTGTATATTGTTTTAAATCGGTGTTTCTGTGGGAGGAAAAGAGGTGGGACTTTCTACTCCCCCATGTTGTCGACATCTCCCTCAGAAATGTTGCTTCACTCTTAATGATCTGGGGTTTCAATAGCATGATAAATGGCTGTGAAGAGACAATGATGAAAGTCAACAATGAAACATGCAAAAATGGTAAAAAGCAGTAATATGGTCAGACAACACTAAAATGGTCTGAAAAGTAAAGTCAAAGTAGACAAATAGATTATTGTTCATAGGAAATATTTTCTGGAGAGCCTGGCAAAATTATATCCAGGAAACCTATTAAGAGCCTACCATTCATACTCAGCAAATATTTAATGGCTGTTTACTGTGTGCCAATCACTGATCTAGGCACCAAAAGTTACTGCCTTTGTGAAATTTATGTTTGGTTGAAAAACAAATATAATATGTGCTGACTGCAATATAAGGGTGAAAAAGATATAGTCCCTAGCCTCGAAGAAATTTACTCCATGGAAAATATAGATGGGTAAGCAAATTTTTGCAACACCACGTTACTTAGGCTGTCAGAGTTGGCATTACTGTTGGAAATCGGGACAAAGGAAGGCTGAAGAAAGCTGCACTAAGAAAGTAGTGTTAGACTTGGCCTTGATTAGAGAATCCTCATATCCATAAAAAATGTATTCTAAAATCCTCAAAAGTTGGGCGCCTGGGTGGCTCAGATGGTTAAGCGTCTGCCTTCGGCTCAGGTCATGATCCCAGGGTCCTGGGATCGAGTCCCGCATCGCGCTCCCTGCTCCTTGGGAGTCTGCTTCTCTTTCTCTCTCTCTCTCTCTCTCTGTCTCTGAAGAATAAATAAATAAAATCTTTAAAAAAAAAAAATCCTCAAAAGTTAAAGACATTGTTACTAAAGCAAGGAGCACAGCTGGGTGTCATTAGAGATCATTAGACTCCGTTAGAAGCTACCCTGGGCAATGAGGGACAGTCTTACCAAAGACTTTATGTGTGTGTGTTTATATGCAGAAATTAGAGATTTTTTTCATCCATTTTTGCCATCTACTGTAATTGAATTTTAATAATCATTCACATTTATTAAATGTAATCAATGTGCTGGTAGTTGTGAATGCCTAGTCCTTTCTCCTCACATGCATGAGGCAGGTGCTATGGTTACCTTCTTTACAGATAAGAAAACTGGGGCTTGGAGAGTTAAATGATTTACTCAGCTAGCGAAGGACATGGGACTTATCTTCATCTTTCTGACTGCACAGTCTTTGTTCTGAACCACCATGACCATTGTGAATATACTTCGCTCCAAAGACAAAAACCTGGGGGAAAATGTGATCCAAAGAAGTTACTTTTTCTCGGCTAAGAATCTCAGGGCGGGGATGGGTGTGGTGCCTGGGTGGCTCAGTGGATTACCCATCTGCCTTCAGCTCAGGTCATGATCCAGGAGTTCTGGGATCAAGCCCCACGTCACCTCCCTGCTCAGTGGGGAGTCTGCTTCTCCCTCTCCCTCTGCCCCTTTGCACCCCCTCCCGCTGCTCGTGCTCTCTCACTCTCTCTCAAATAAATAAAGTCTTAAAAAAAAAAAAAAAAAAGAACCCCAGAGGAGTTAGTTTAGTGCTGTGGCATAAAGTCTGTCTTCAGGGAATTCAGGTTCCTTCCCTTACCTGCTCTGTCCGTGATGGGTGCCTCTGACCTCATGCATTTTGTTATGCGCCCCGGAGGCTGGCTTTTACAGTGCCCGACCTCCACTGATGCCAGGGAGTTGCACGGTTTTGTTTTGCTTTTTGCCATGTCCCAAGGCAGATCCACATTCCAGGCAAAAAGAAGGGAAAGCTTTTCAGAGTGGCCTTGCCTTTCTATCCAAAAGGAAATCCTCCTCAACTTGCATTTCACTGGCCAGCTCTAGCAGCAAAGGAGGCTAGGAATATGAGAGTTTTGTTTTCTGGCCTTTATAAAATAAAAGGCAGGAGAAAGTGAGGTAGGTGGATGTTGAATGAACCAACATAAATAGTACATGCACAAAATAACCTACACAATCACTCTGTTCAATTATACACCCGCTACAGTATGACTTACTAAGCCTGGCACACATGACCTAGTCCTAGACCTAGTCTATTATCTCTGTTCTCTTCGGCCAGACTTGTTTTGTTGCTCTTACCCAACATGTTCCCTTTCAAGCCTCCACACTATGAAGCTCAGAGTGCTACCCGGACCCTGCCCCTCAGTGTCCCCGAGATGCCTGCACTCTGCCACTAAATATGGACAAGTGTTAGAAGAGACAGAGTGTGACAAAACAACCATAACTACACCTTAAACACAAGGGAATTTTTATTTCTCTCCCTCAAAACAATCTTGGTGAAGGGGCAGGAAGGAAGCCTCCACTACCTTAAATGACCTAGGTCCTTCTATTTTATTGCCCTGCTCTGTTCTATGTGATGTTTCTGACTCATTAAATTTTTAGTATCTTAGAACAGCACATAGCAGGCACGAACAAACAACAAAGAAAGACTTGGATTAAAGTGAAGGAAATGATTTCCCTATCCTAAGTAAGCTGTAAGGTGCTTTTCCCTTTTTCACCTTCTCCTTGGAGTTAGCCGTTCTACCTGAGCTCCACTAGATGGCAGCACATACACACATAGAGTATATAAATATGCGCCTCCTTTTCTTAAAACTGGAGGAAACTACAAATCCCGACATGCATTATTAAGCGCCTGACTTGCTTCTATACAAAGGTTTCAAGTTTGTTGCTCGCCCAGGGATCTGGAGGACGACATCCACTTGCTGCTCTAAAGTAAGTTTTCCTAATATTTTTTAAATGACACTTCAGACTGGGAAAGGGGGAGGTTTAGATTTGCTTTGTTCTGCAAGGTACCTATTTCAAGATTAATCTTAGCAGTTAGATCAAGATAAGGGTGTGTTTTTAACAAGTTTGAAGTTTTGGTATATGTAAGTTTCTCAGTGTGGTTTTCACGTTGCATTTATTGAGAGTTGCCTCATTTTCCCATTTCAGGTCACGCTTGCCCTCATTTTCCCAAATAAATTCATTTTAGTTTGATAGTGTAGTTTATTGCAGCAGTGAGGCTTTGGCCCCAAAATTTGGCCCCAGAAAGACAAGGCCAGCGAGGAGGAGATTTCAGAGTGAGCGAAGCGGCTGCTCTGTGCTTGAGCAGTTGTTCAGTAAGCGCCTCTGCGGTGTCAGCGATTCCTGGGGAAACCTTTGGTACGTGCCTTCCGTGCCATGCAACGACGGGGGGCAAAATAATAGCTTTTTAATACACCATGCCCAAGATGGGGGGGCGGTTATTGGAGTCTCTTACTTTCTAAAGCATATATATCTCTCAACTCTTTACGTGTTTAAAGTGAAAATGTATCACTCGTGTAAGAATAAAGAAAAAAAAAAAAAAGCAAAACAAAACCGTGCAACTCCCTGGCATCAGTGGAGGTCGGGCGCTGTAAAAGCTCAGCCTCCGGGGCGCATAACAAATGCAGACTTGCTCCGAGAACATCATTGGTGAAGCTGTAAGCAGGTCCCTGGAGCCGCTTGTTAGTGGGGCCCTCTGAGAAGCAAAACTCCAACACAGAGTTAAGCGTGCAAGCGTGTACTAGAGAAAATGCTGGTGCCAGAGGAAATGAGAGAACCGGCCGTCCGACCCCCGGAGGGAGGCCCCAGCCACCGCGGGGCTGGGAGCGAGGGCCGCCGGCAGGGCCGTGCGGTGGCCGGAGGGTCCTCAAGGTCTCTGTGTCCCGCAAAGTGGGACCGCCTTCGCGTGGGTGCGAACTCGCGCACGGCCTCAGCGCACAGCCCGCGCGGCCGCGTGCGGACCTAGAGGGCGCCCGCCCGAGACCGCAGGAACAGCGCGACCCACGAGGTCTTCTCTTGGACCTGCAATCCGAGGCCTAGGTTTGAGTTCACACCTCGGGACACGGCGCAGACCGCATGATCCCTTTGAAGGTAGTGCACTGGTGTCCAGGCCCAGCCTCCTGGCTGAAACGCTGCGCTCGTCCTGCTCCCGTCTCCATCCCCTCCCTCCCTGCAACTTCACCGGTGGCCCTTCAGGCCACAGCACACCCTCCCCAGGAAACCAACCCCCGACCCCCGCCGGGACTGCTCCACAGTGGTCTTTCTGAAATACGTGTCTGCTTGTGTCACACTCTTTCCATCAGTCCTTTGGTGCCCATTGCCCACAGGATTAACTGGCCCCTCAGCATTCCGAGCTTCGATAAAGCCCCGAGGCTTGGTTACAGCAAAAAGCGACGGTTGGCTGGCGAGAACAGAGATAGGTTCCAACAGAATGGACTAGATCGTGTGAGTCCTCTAGGCAAGACTAGCTAGCTACCTGTACTTTATCAGACAGGTAATTGAGCAGGGTGATTGTGTAGGTTATCTGTACATGTACCATTTAAGTGGGCTCGCTACCCGCCCCCCCGCCCCAGCTTTTCTCTTTATAGAGGCTAGAAAACAAAACTCTCAAATTCCTAGCGCCTGCTGCTAGAGCTGGCCTGTGAAATGAAGATTGGAATTTCTGAGGAAGCCTTGCTTCTTGAAGAAAGTGAGGACACTCTGGAAGCCTTTTGGCTTTTATTTCCCACCACCACCTCCCAACCACCTTTTTCTTTTTTTTTCTTTTTCTTTTTTTTTTTTTTTTTTTGCCTGGAATGGGGATGTGATGCCTTGGGACAAAGCAGCCATTGTGTGACTTGTGAGATCAGAGGCACCCATTAAGGACAGTGGGATGAGAAAATGTACTCAGTTCCTTGAAGTTGGCCTCAGTTGATTGTCATTTGACTCTTAACTACCCCCAACCTCATCATTAGCCATTCCCTCTCATCCTGCGATCTACCGTCCAAGAACCAAATATCTTATGCATATCTTATTTTCCCTAGGTCAGAATTCCTCAGTCCTCCATTCTGAAAATTACTGCTGGTAGCACGCTGAAACTTCAGGAGAGGATCAGCAGCATTGTGGGGTGAAATTTCACATAGCAAAGGAGTCCGGAAGCCTGAGCTGAGTTCTGGCTCTGTCATTAACTGGGTCTGTGACCTTGAGCAAGTCAGATCACTTTTCTCATCTATAAAATAGGAGTACCGGACGTGATTTGATTTTCCAGCTCTCTTGTTCAATGACTCCGAGGCCAACCATGAAATCTTTCCAGTGACAAGGAGAAGCCATAGACAATTGGTAGTGCAAACCCCAACAAAAGTTTACAGCAGAGAAATCAAGAAGCAGCCCCCACTAGTAAGGACACATGCAATGCTGTAACAGTTTGTATACAGGGACAGTGGGGACAATGGTGCTGGTAGTGAGGGGAAGGACTCCCGCCCCTGCTCTATCAGTATCAGATGCTGTCTTCTCTAAGTACTCAGGAAACCAGTTGGTGGATTAAAGTCCAATGTATCACTTCAGTGGGTCGTGCTAAATGTTTTTGATAATACCCAGCTAGGGATCTGGAGTCAGCATTCTTGGAGAATTCAGATGATGGGACGATTTGTACAGAAATGCTGTCATTAAGTTCTTAAAGAGTTCACTGAACTGTTCATTCTAGACATCGCTGCACAGGACCAGGTGCTCAGCCATTAAATACGTGTCTGTAGCTTAAGCCGCAGGTTCCATTATGGGTCGACTTGATGGGAAGGTCATCGTGCTGACAGCTGCCGCTCAGGGGATTGGCCGGGCAGCTGCCATAGTAAGTTGTCATCTGTGGTTTGCCTACTAACTTTGAGGTATTGAACTATGTGGACAGATCCCACGGTCATTTAATTCTGCTCTACTTTTTTTTTCTTGTTTATCTTGTGCTTCTGTTGTCTTAAGTTACAAAAAGAAAAGTCGCTATCCCTGACCCCCGGGGAAAAGATGAAGGCATGAACACCTCCCATGTTTATTATGTGACATCACTGATAACCTCTGACTCTGAGAGACGTCTTCCTCTGCCTCAGTTTCTCTGCACTATGATATATTTACTGCAGGGGCCCTACGGGAATGCATAGGTTTCTGAAATTACATCGATTCAGGTAGAAGACTCTAGAGTTACAAGACTATCAGGTTACCTTTACCTTCCAATTTATACCAACTTCTTGCACATTATAACCCCCACCTGAACTAATTAATGCATTTGAAGTATTGACTTTAATGAAAGTATTTGACACTTATGAAAACAGTAGTATAGTCTGAGGAGAAAAAGTGTCGAAATAACCCATTTTCTCTTATTATTTGGAATATAAGAAGAAGTGGAAAATAATAAAAACTTGCTCAGAAATGAAATACAGGCTATCACATCACAGAATAGTATTTTGAGAGGTGTCAGTAACAGTAAGAGATTAACTAGTTTTTAAAAACACGATTTTATTTCATAATGCTTAAAGGGACAAAGTTAGATGACAAGCACAATGTATGTCACGTTGTCCTAGTTAATGATAAAAATAATAACAACGGGAAGGGTGAAGTGAGAGTAGAGAGCTTGAAATTCCATCTATTTTATAGGGAAAACAATGAAAATAAGATAAGGGGGAAAGCCTAACTGACTTTCCATTCATGAGAATGGAATCAAATCAAATAAACAAAGGATTTACTTGTATATTGTGTCTCCCAGGCTTTTGCAAGAGAAGGTGCCAAAGTCATCGCTACGGATATCAATGAGTCCAAACTTCAGGAACTAGAAGAGTACCCCGGTAAGCAAGTTGGCAGTGTGAACTTGGGATTCAGACTCTGCAAAGTATTATAAAGCAATAGTGCTCAGATGCTGAAAGAAAATTCCTTACCCACTCAGTTCCACTGGCCTTCTCTTTAGAGCCTGATTCTCTGATATCAAATCTATATTGTGCAAACCTACAGACAAAAATCTATATATTTAAATGTATAAACAACATTCTAAGATGTATACCTAAAATATTTTATTTATGCAACATGTTGAAGGATTCAGTCCTCAGTTACAAAATTACATGTTTAAATTTAACAGTTGCTAACTTTTTGTTTTTAGGTATGCTCTAGCCCAAGGTGGAACTTGAACTCATGATCCAGAGGTCAAGAGTTGCACGCTCTACCGACTGAGCCAGTCAAGCAAGCGCCCCTGTTATTAACTTTTTTTTTAAGCTTTTATTTCATTATTTCTCAGAGAGAGCACACAAGCAGGGGGAGAGGCAGAGGGAGAAGCAGACTCCCCACTGAGCAGGGAGCCCGATTTGGGGCTATATCTAGGACCCTGGGATCATGACCTGAGCCAAAGGCAGATGCTTAACCAACTGAGCCACCCAGCATCCCTTATCGTTAACTTTTTTTTTTTTAAAGATTTTATTTATTTGACAGCGAGAGAGGGAACACAAGCAGGGGGAGTGGGAGAGGGAGAAGCAGGCTTCCTGACGAGCAGGGAGCCGATGTGGGGCTTGATCCCAGGACCCTGGGATCATGACCTGAGCCGAAGGCAGATGCTTAACGACTGAGGCACCCAGGCGCCCCCCCTTATCGTTAACTTTTAATGATGACTTTCCACTTGAGTGCCTCTCTGTGAGGGAAACACTGTCCAACAGAAACATGATGTGAGCCACATATGCAATTGTAAATTTTCTAGTGGCTACATTTAACAAGTAAAAAGACACAGGTGACGTTAATTTTAATAATATACTTAATTCAATACATCTAAAATATTATAATTTTAACATACACAGTATTAAAAAAATATACACAGTAAAAAAAATTTAACATACACGGTATAAAAAATGCAATATTTTACATTTCTTATACCAAATCTTTGAAATGCACGTGTACTTTTTACACTTCCAGCACATTTCAGTTCAGACTAGCTGCATTTCAAATGCTCATACTGGAGACAGCTCAGCCTTAAAATCACATTATGATCAGAAACTGTAAGAGATTAACTTGTTTGGGTGCATATTGTCCCTCACTGCACCACACCGAACCTTAATTCCAACATCAGAGGGCTTCAATTGGCGTTACTCAGAAAGAAATCAGGACATAGAACTCATTTGAAAGTTAACTGTTTTGGCAAAATAGAACTGACTACGTGATCAAACACAACTGAGTTCACTGAATTAGTTAACTGAATTAGACCGTGTGGAGTTACCATTTCAACAAGTCTAAGGGAAGCTGCTGTCCTAGAAAAGCACAAAGCAAAGGAAGTTCTTCTGAAACTCAATTTTAGTCTTCCCCTTCTTCACTTATAATCTTTCTTTTCTATATCCAAAAGGGAAGAATAAAATAAACCATATTATTTTTAAAATCATAAAAATGACCAAAAAGCCTATTTGTTGGTTTAGGGTTTTTGTTTTGTTTTGGTTTGGTTTTTTGTTTTGTTTTTTTTTAGTAGCTAGTACAGCGTGTCTCTCTCAGATCCCGCACCAGATCTCTCACGGTCAGTGTTTTCATCTCTTCTTCTGGCCTCTCGTTTCTTCTTGCAGTTTAGTCTAGACGTAAGTGATGATACCCATGACCAACAAAGTCATTTCTAGTAAATAAAAGAATTGACATAAAAGTAAAGGGCACAAATAGAAACAATCTCTTAGCTCACCGCACCTCAGACAGAATTCAGCATCACTGTAGCAGTGATTCAACCTCTGGGGAAAGGAAACGCTGGAGAGGACCCACTTGCAGGTCTTACTGCTGGCTTACTGAGAGGCATCTGATACAGAGCTCAAGATGGGGAGGACTTGAAGATTTTTACTAATAAGATTCTTGAGATTTCTAAGACCCTACTAATGGCCATCAATCATGTGAAGCCTAACTGGACAAATATTACAGTCTTCACATTTCAGAACAGCTAAATCTTCAAGGCTAAACATTTTTATGAGTAAAGGTAAATCGTGTCCTTGTTTTATTTTTCAGGTATTCAAATTCGGACCCTTGACGTCACAAAGAAGAAACAAATTGACCAGTTTGCCAATGAAATTGAGAGACTTGATGTTCTCTTTAATGTTGCTGGGTAATTCATACTTTTTAATTTCACTGTCCTTACAGAAAGTTTTCTATGACTTATTTAATCACTTTTGACAATATGGCAAAATTATTCATCACGAACCATTATATATTTCTTAGGAAATACAGCTAGAGTTTAGACAGAATTTTTATTCTGAGATTCAGCAGGTGAGAAAGCCATAGAAGTGGACACAGGCTTGAGTCCTAAGGGAAATTATGGTCAACTCAAGAGCACTGGTAGTAATCTAGACCTGTTGCTCTTCTTAAGGCTGGTAACAGCTTACACCAATGGACTGGTTGTGGATGCTCCACTAAGACATAAAATAAAATGAAAACCTGTTTTCCAGTAGATGTCTTTAAAACAAAGCATATTTACCAGAAACCAAGTACTCAGCCTATTGAAATGCAGGTGTTCCCCATTTTTTTGGCACAACATTCTAGCCAGTCCTCCACACACCTCCCAAGCCCAGGGTTTCTTATCGGGACAATGAGCCCCACCCAGCAAAAGAAGTCTACGTGTTACACTTCTGTAGAGAGCACAAAGAGAGTGGCTTAATTGAACTTACTGGGGTGGTACCCAACGTGCTGAATCAGGTGCGAATGTGGGGAGACTGGAACTGGACCCACCACACAGACGACAGGTAGCGCTAGCAGTTTTCCTACTCAGGAGCAGCTCAGTAGAGGTGAGCACAATGGACGTTCACACAGGAACTAAGTGACATTCCCCTTTTCTTATGGAGTGTTATATTTGTACTGCCGCATTGATAGAAAAATTCCAGAGCCTCCTAATATATTTTTGTTCTTCCTAATCATGCTTCAGAGCAAAAAAAAAAAAAAAAAAGTCCATCTATAGTTTGTCATATGTGACATTGTGTGGAAATTAAATTAAAGCAACAATATATGGCAATCTATTTTATAAACTGCTCATCCCTTATATGAGAATATACTGAAAGCCATGACCAAAAAAAAAAATCAGTTAGGAAATTAGTTTTTGAACATCTTCACATTAAATTTTCAGCAACATAAGGGATATAGAAGTAGAGCATGTGGTTCTTGCTGTCACACGAAGGATGAGCAGGTTATTTACGAGTGTGACTTGACAAGGAGTGAAGCCTGCTTGAAGTTTTGTTTTGTTCTGCTCTGTTTACTCAGTATGTTAGAACCGTATGATAGCAATATTTCTTTGCTACCCTGAAATGTGCAGACAGTGGTTTTCCTTGCAATTTGATTTTCTCTTTGAAAACACTAAATCTGTGCCACCAGAGGGCACTATAGCTCCTGAAGTAGGAGTCAGGGCGGGCGTCCTAGGCTCACGTTTGTTTTTGATATTTCCTGTGCAGTTGCTGCCCAGATTCTTATGTTGGGTGGCCTCAGACTTTTGCCTTTCTCTTTTAGAAGAAGGATGTTGTTTTCAAATAAATGTATTTAGCTTAAGTTGTTAGATACTCATTAACCTAATGTACTAAGTGATATTCCGAATTGTTAAAATCTTCATAAGGGAAGGGTCAATGGTCTCATTGTACGACAATAAAAAAATGGTAAGGAAATGGAATACAAATCTTCTTAAATGATCATTTTTCCCCACTGATCAATCCCTCTTCCAGTTTTGTCCATCACGGAACCATCCTGGACTGCGAGGAGAAAGACTGGGACTTCTCAATGAATCTCAATGTCCGCAGCATGTACTTGATGATCAAGGCATTTCTTCCTAAAGTAAGGACCGCCACCACTAGGATAAGCACCACTGGATAAGTAGGTCTCCGCACTGGGCACCGAGAAAGGGTCCTCACATGTGCCAAAGAGTGACAGTAGCTAATATAATGACAAACCTGTACTGAACATTTATATCAAGGCATTTAATATAAATTAACTCATTTAACCTTCCAGTTAAGAAATAGTCAAGAAATATTAAGCACTTTCTATTTGCAGGTCTCCCTCATTCTAGATGCAGAAGACACATCAGAAAACTAAACAAAGTCCCTTCTATAAGGGAGATCCCATTTTTGAGGAGACAGGATAATGGGTAATGAGACATATAACTTGGGGAGTGATTAGAAGTACTACGAAGAAAAAGAAGCTAGGATATCAGTAAAGTCCAGGAGGGCCTCACTGAGAAGCTGGAATTTTCAAAGAGGTCTAAGTGAAATGAGGGAGCTAGCCATTCAGGTATATTCGGAAGAGGGTCCCAGGGAGAGGGACAGCAAGGAGGCATGCAGAACCAGAAGAATGTGATGAGGTAGGTACTACTTTATCACATCCACCGTACAGAGGATAAAACTGGGAGGTGAGATAACTTGCCCAAGGTCACATAACTATCAAGTGGGTAGAGTAGGATCTGAACCCTGGAAGTTGGGCCCCTTCTTGAATTTCAGTATCTAGGCACATGCTCTCAGGATAGACGTACCCCCATTGCTTTTCTGTTCCCTGATACTCTCCTTGTTTTTAGCTGAGCCACAGAGGTACCAGAGAGGTGAGAGCCAGTGTATGCTAAAGAGAGAGCATGCCTCCTGAGTCGGCTACCCTTGAATTCCACAGCCTTCACACAGCTCATCAATGTTCTTCATTTTATTTTACAAACAAGCATTAAATGCCTTTTGACATAAAGTGCGCACTAGGTGTTCTGGGGAGAGGGGAGTGTAAATATGAAAAACATTGAGTTCAAATGAACTGACAAGCCAAGAGTAAGCAGACAGCACAAGCTCAGACAATGAAAGGGGTTGACTGAGTACCACAGAACTAGCTCAGTCCAAGGTTGTCAACTGAACCCTAGTGAAATGCAGAGGAGCATTCTTCTCTTCCATCCCAGCCAGATTAGATGACGGACATACCGAATGCTGCCAACCCAGCACAGAAAAGAGCTTTCTAATGGCAACACAGGGCCGATGCTTTGCTCTAAACATTCAACCTAATGTCAAGATGAACATCAAAAGGAAAATTAGGAAAACCTGACTTGGAAACAAAGGAATTTGTTTTAATCTGCTTGTTTAGCACCTAGAAAGGATCTCTCAGTGGGTCCATGGGATGTTGCACTAGCAAATTTTTTTAATATAAATCTCATTTTTTCTGCTTATTTGGAGTTCATGAGAATCTATGTTATTTGGAACTTGGATTTTTTTTTTTTTTTTTGAAGACTGATCCTAGAATATGGGAGAGAAGCAGAGGCTCTGGTAAAAGGAGAAAGCTTAGGTCACAGGGGGTAAGCTGTCACGTGTGCATAACCAGCCTACTTCATGTCTGGAATGCTTTACAAATGTGAGTGAAGGCAGCAAGGGTGGGATATAGTCCAGTGGAGCTGAAATTTAAACTTGTCAATAAGCGTTAACTTTTGAAATATCAAACACTAACTTGCAAATTAGTGAGTTTACCTATGATTTAAAGCATCTTAACAATAATCCATATGAGCCAGTAACACCCATTTGTAAAACATCCCAAGAGATAATAATGATTGGGATGGGCAATCAGAAGTAGTCGATGCCACTTCTGAAAGTGACAGTAACCAGCCTGACCCCAGATTTCAGACTCTGGCTTCACAGCCTGAACTCTGCCCCTCCTTCACCGTGCACTGTGGGAGATGGCACTTGTGTTCTATTCTATTTAAAACAAGGGTGAAAAAATTACACGATCCCTGTCAGATCCTCTGGGTTCATTAACTGTGATGCACATTTCCAGGTTAGAACTTTCCAGGGGAAGCCAGGATTTAGAGTCCAGGCAGACCTGAAAAGTCAGGTGGTCAGAACATAGAAACACTTTTGGAAATTTTTGTTCATGGGTAGACATACTGAAAACCATTCCAAGACTGGAATTTAAGTCAAAAGGCAAAGAACAAGTTGAAAATACTGTAAGAAGAGGTCAGTGCAAAATCCAAAGTCAGGAAAGTCTCGGCTATGTGGAGGTTTCTCCCCTTTGCTGTACCTTAAAAGATTCTCTAGCACATAGAGGTGCTTTGGCAAGTATTTGTTGAATGAATAAATGAATCTAGGTTGTCAGTCCAGGTAGAGGTCAGACATGGAATCACCAAAGACCCAAGAAACCAAGGTCTGCCAGGTTTAGGAGCTGAGCTCAGTAGGGACAGAAGAGCTGGGTTAGGGTAGGACTAACTAGATCTACGGCTAGAGGGAGTTTTTCAGAGTTCTTTCTTAGCCCCTCCCTGAGCTTCTGGGAGGTCAGTCGTATGGAGGATCACCACGTACTAGGCACTTCACTTTATAGTTGCCAAGTCGTATTTGCCAGAGAGGGCTGTCGCATGGGGAGTCAGGAGGAGCACGCACACTCTACCAGCAGGCACTGAGCTGGTGTGGAGAAGACCTCATGGAAGGAGGCAAGGACAGGGCTCTAGAACCAGCAGACAGACCTGGTCGAATGGATGGAACAAGTGTCAGGGGCAGCACTAGCGTCTCCTAGTGACTATATTCTAAAGTTTTGCCTGAGGAATTGCTGCATTTCTGAAGATGAGAGACTGAACTTACTTCATAGCTCATCTTTATATATTCAGTTGGGGTATATGTATTCTATGGGTATTAAAAACAGGTTACATATGACAATGATAGCTCAATAAAACTGGAAAAAAATTAAAAATAAGTAAAAATGGGTTATTTGCAAAGTTGGGTAAGAAAGAATAATGTTAAGGCTTTGTTTTCAAGCCTTGACTAATTTTCCTGGTCTTTTTTTCTGAGGACCCCATTTCATATGATCCTGTTTATCGCACAAACAAGTTGGGTTCAATACTTTCACCCCTGCTGCTGTCCTTGACTTGGTTGGCTCGCCTCAGCCTCCCCTTGCACTCTTTAATCCATCCAATACAACGCCTTAGGTTGTTTTACTCTCTGCTCTTGGATGCAAATAGTAACTAAGTATCAAAACAGAAAGGAAGGGAATACTATAGGGAGACCTATCATCTTGGCAGCCTCTTCCCTGGACCAGTCACTCACCTCCATTCCTGCACCTCTTGGTCTGAAAGCGGCTAGAGCAACTCACCGAAGCAGAAGCGACTTCTCCCTCTACACTGACTGTTGAGACGCTTTCTTCTTAGAAACTTTTTACTTGACTTTCATGGCACAGCATGTCCTGCTTTTCCTTCCTCTGTTCTCTGGTGGTGGTCTTCCATTTCCTCCCAGCGCTTGTTGTAACTCTTGACCACTCTCCGTGTCCACCAGCCCCGCCTTGTTTATGGTCATCCTCCGAGCCTGATTTCAATGAGAAGGTAGTGCCCATCGGGCAGGAGTGCTCTTCAGGTGTTGCTCCTGCCCCCAAAGCATTCATGGGTCTCCATGCCTCCGGACCTACCTACATGCCCTGGAAAACACACATACATGTTATACTTAAGTATACGTTCATCTGAAAACATTTTTAATTCCTAGTAGCTTTTTTATTCATTATATTATTCGTTTAGGTCTGGGGCAGGGCCCAGCAACCTGCACTTTAAACTAGCATCTCGGGGTGCCTGCATGCCGCAGTCGGTTAAGCGTCTGACTCTTCATTTCAGCTCGGGTAATGATCTCAGGGTTGTGAGATCAAGCCCCTTGTAGGGCTCTGCGCTCAGCAGGGAGTCCGCTTAAGATTCTCTCTCTCCTTCTCCCTCTGCCCCTACCCCCACTCAAGCTCTCTCTAAATAAAGTAGTTAATTAATTAATTAAAAAAGAACTAGCACCTCAAGAGATTTTGATTCATCACAGTGTATGGTCCACCTACTGTGTACCATGTAGGAGGACAAAACAGCCACAGACCCTCGTCTTCAGACCTTCACACTTTGGGGGAATTCTGAGGGAAGTGTTCTTAGGAAACACTTCTTCGATGAGGGAGGCAGGCCTCACTGCGTGTAACCATTTACCATGTCCTGCACTTACTACCTAAACCATCTCCACCCCTGTTGCCCACAGACATTTCTGCATCTCTGCTTTCATCAGTCCTTTCCGAAATCACTCTATCAGCTTCCAGTGGGTCTCCTCAACATGGTGCCGAAGTAATCTTAGTATTCCCCAGATGTAAACATGCCGCTGCTCTGCATTAAACCCCTCATTGTCACCACCGCACTGCCCTCAGGGTAATGCCCAAATTCCTAAACTTAGCTCCCGTTGGCCTCTGCAGCCTCATTCCTCCCACGCCTAGCATTCCAACCAGACCCATCCCTTCCTTCCAGTTCCATGATACAGCCTCAATACTTGTGGTTCTTGCTTCTTAAAACACCTATTTTTCTGGCTAATACTTTGGTTTTCAAAAATCAGCCCACCTCTTTCCTCCTTAGGAACCCTCCTCTGAGTGTCCCGCAACCTGGACTGGTCCCTTCCCGCCACCCCGATTCCCCTCTCTGGAGGTCTCTGCTGTCTGTTGCCAGATGCTGGTTATGTCAACCCCTCCAGTCAGCTGGCAGCTCTCTATAGGCAGGGAGTGTGTCATTTATCTTCCAAACTCCTGGACCTACCACTGTATCTGATCATAGTACGTCTTCAACAAACATGTGTCAAACAAAGAAAGAGTTTTCCAACAGCAGGAATACAAAGTAACGATTAATGTTCATTAACTTTTCATTTAGCTCAGAGTTCCTTCTTGGTCTTGCTGATGCTTTTGTGCCAAAGGAAGGCGGTAATCCCCCTGGGAAATGTTCCTGCCAGTGAGTGCGTAATGACTGGGTGAGGCTGTTAAGACTGCCTAACAGCGCTTCATGTTAATAGCTAATAAGATGCTTCTGCAAACCATAAGTAAATGCAAATCTTCTAAAGAGGTCGCATTCTTATCTTACAGAGTGGCTTTTTTTTTTTTTTTTTTTGTATTTGTTTTGTTTTGGCAGATGCTTGCACAGAAATCTGGCAACATTATCAACATGTCGTCTGTGGCATCCAGCGTCAAAGGTAGGTCTGTTTTCCTCTGGGAATCACGATGCACAGACCCCCGTACCTTCACGAGCTGTGGGTTTTTGCAATGAGCATAGCAGAGATTATAAAGCCCACACATAATTTCAAAACCACTTTTTAAAAAATTGGTATTAAGTTCCTTACTGTCCGTCTTTTTTGCCTTCGTTGTAAACCAGTCGTAAAAAATAAATTTGTTTCATTTGCCCTTCCTTGTATTCCTTCTAATGGATGTGAACATGAAAATCAAGCCGGAAGAAGGAAATATTTAAACATTCAATTAGCCAAGAAAGATGTATCGAACGCTATGTGCCCCTCACGGTCCACAAGGGGGAGGGTCAGGCAAGTGCACATCTTCTGCAGTGTGACAGTATTACCAGCCGGGTTTGTGCAAAGCGCTGGCACCACTGATATGGGGGAGTGATCTGGGCCCCAAACACAAGTCAAGTCCAAGAGCCGGGACTGCAGTGCCCAATGGAAATGACATCACAGTCCGGCAGACGGACTTGCACGCTTCAAATGAAAGAGTTACCGCGGAGGTGGCGTCCCTTCTCAACTCAAGAACACCCGTGAGCCTGTCCAAGACAGGAAGGCAAAGAGAGGCCACAGGCCTCTTCATTTCTTGGTCTGGTGTTTGTTCTGTTGTTCTTTCCCCTGATTCTCTTTTGCAATCCGCCCAAGGGTTCTGCCCACCGATGATGAAAACCTAAGACCGCTGCCATCACCTAAGTGCAGGTTCTCAACGCCTCAGTCTCGACTGAGTTGTGCCAGGAACGATATTATTTTCCCACAGTCAGAAACCGGCCCTCTTCAGGGAGAAAACCTGACACCAAATTTTAAAAAGGGTGGGATGGCAGGAAACAGGACAGTGGTTCCTGGGGACAGTCAGTTGTGCTCCCTTCCTCAAGGAGACTGTTGTTTTGTTCCTTCGATTGTTGAGTCTTCCTTTCACCTCAGGAGTTATGAACAGATGTGTGTACAGCGCCACCAAGGCGGCTGTGATTGGCCTCACGAAGTCCGTGGCCACAGACTTCATCCAGCAGGGGATCAGGTGCAACTGCGTGTGTCCAGGTGAGGCGGGCACCACAGGGCTGCCACTGCGCAACCCATCCACGGAAGCTTGTTTCCCACGTTGTATTGGATCCTGTCATTGGGGAAAAGCTCAAATGAACAAGGGTCTAGGCTTACTAAGATAACAGTCCAACAGGGGCGCCTGGGTGGCTCAGTTGGTTAAGTGTCTGCCTTCAGCTCAGGTCATGATCCTGGAGTTCTGGGATCGAACCCCAGGTCGGGCTCCCTGCTCTGCAGGGAACCCGCTTCTCCCTCTGCCCCTCCCCCTCTCATGCTTGTTCTCTCTCTCTCTCTCTCTCACTCTCTCTCAAATAAAAATCTTAAAAAAAAAAGATAACAGTCCAACAGTAGGTTGGGAACGAGATTCTTAGTCATTAGGAAGGAACCACAGATGCAAAGGGTTTAAATGGTATTCATGTGTGTGGAACAATTCCAAATCTCATGGCCAAGACACACAACTGGCCAGAGCTTGGTGTTTAGGAAGCAGACCAGAGATGCCCTTGTCAGGGGAAAGATGGAAAGTAGACCATGCTCATAGGACCACAGGAAGAAAGTAAGAGCAGCTTCCCAGAACATAGGGAGCTACTGAGTCTTGTCAATCACCTGGGGTGACCCATAAATAAAAAGGAGGGGTTAACACCCTCCTTGATGCTATCAAAAGAGGGCCAGCAGACTGTGGCCTGCAGGAGAAATCTGGCCCACCACCTGTGTAGTAAAGACAGTCGTATTCTAACACATCCACACCCAGTTTGCATACGTATTGGCTATGACCGCACTCCTGCTACAAAGCAGAGTTAAGCAGTTGTAATTGACCAAATAAATGGTTCTCAAAGTGAAAAATATTCTCTATCTGGCTTTTTTTTT